AGGAAAAGTCACAATCACAAAGAATTGGATATCGGATTCCCCATGTTAGAAGTATGTGTTGGACATCGGTTAAATAGGACAAGCCAGGTAAAAAAATTTCTTAGATAGATGCAGTCGCTCAAAGTTGTCCGAAGAAACACTGAGGCTGAGAGAGGTACGCCGGTTCGCCTAGGGCCCTGATTCCCTATAAATGTGTCAAAATCTGCACTTTCCTCCTGTTCCAGGTACTGTTCTGAACCAATTTGAAGCACTTGTTCTTAGCTTCAGTACTTGTTTCAAGTTCCAAGTGTATGTTTGAGATGGTTTTAGCTCCCAGAAATGCTTGTGGCTTCTGTAGGAGGGAGGCCGGCTGAAAAGAGGGATGACTTCTCCACTCTGATTGCTAGTGGAGAATCTATCTTGAAACCATTTTTCCAGAAACATTTTACTCTTTATCTCTTTCATATACCTTCTTTTTTCCCTCTCATCTCTTATGTCTAAAAGAAAAGTAACCTACATTTTAACTTCTAGCAAAGCAAGGTTGATTTGTTATTGTTTTCAGTTTGGACTGCTAAAAAAGTGATAGATATAATCATATTCATTTTCAACCAAAATGCTCATCTGTTCATTGGTACTTTACTTTGAGGATCTTGATGACTTGATGGCAGCAGCTCTTATGTGTTATGGTGAGCTTAGTTTATGAATCAGTTTAGTTTATCGATGGGAAGTGGTAGTGGTTAAGGAATCTAATGACATCTGAAAATTTACTGCAAGTCAAGTTTTGATTTCAGGTTTCATGTTAGGAAAATCTTCAGCTTCTTATCATGTTCTGGAGAATCGAGATTTTCAGTCCTCTCTTACCGTTATAAATGCAGATCCAAAGGGGCTATTTCCTCCAGAGCCTACACCGTACAAGGGACCAAAGCTGAAAGTAGTTGCAGGCATGTCAACTGCTCTAGAGCTTCTGGATCAGGGTCACGAGGTGTTTAATCCATTGCTTTTAGTTGTTTACCTTTTATTTCGTCACATAAATGTGTCAGTCTTTGTTATTGTTTCAGGTGGGTATATATGATATGATTCAAGGACATTCATTGGTGGGTTCTTTTGTAGATAGGCGAGGGAATCATATCGAAATGCCACAACGTGTTTTCTACGGATGCTACAATAATCTCTTCCGCTTGATGATAAAGGTTTCTGTTTTCCAAAGCTTCCGCTCAAGTTTGCTTGATAATTGACACTCAATACTCATATATGAAGATTTTTTTTTTCTTAATGTAGGTCAGTAGGTGGGTGCTGATAAAAACCTTATTGTCAAAGACCACGCTCCTACATTTATGAACAAAGGCAGCGAAATCAGAGGTTTGTCTCAGTTCATTATTCTCTTGCTATGGCTGCTTCTATGATTTCGTACTGAGATGTGCATATAACTTGTAGAGCTTGATTTCCGATTTCCTGTTGGACCTCCAATTCACAGTATTCGCCCCCTTTTTTTTTTTTTTATCACAAATCAACTCAAGGTATAAGTCAAAATTTTGGATTCATTTCTCTAGACACATCTAAATCTTTGGATTCACGTCAGTGCACTTTTCTGCTGTGGAGAAATCCCCAACATTTTTCTCGAATTTCATAGCACCATATAAGTAATTTCTTACTTTAATTACACATGTCAGATTACTCTTGCATTGCGGTAATGCGGTAATGCAAGAGTAATTAAA